CTAAAAATAACTAAAACCTTTCTGAATAAGGCCTGGTTTTAGCCCAGAAATTTCTGATTAAAATGAGACATCTTCCAGCTCTACACGACCTTTCTTTGCAAAGTTGTAGAATTTACAAGAAAAGCCCTAAATGTTCATTGTCAGCTTAAAGCTACAGAAATAGGAAGAAATTGATTTAGGGCTTTTCTTGTAAATTCTACAACTTTACAAAGAAAGGTCGTGTAGAGCTAGAAGATGTCTCATTTTAATCAGAAATTTCTGGGCTAAAACCAGGCCTTATTCAGAAAGGTTTTAGTTATTTTTAGAGTTTCTGAAGAACTCGTTTTCCAAAAACCGGAGTGTCCAGAGACCGTTGGAGAAAAACCATTGTAATATTCGGATTCAGCATGATCGATTACCTGTCACCCACTAGGTTTCGTCACAAAAGCAATGGGACAGTTGGTGGCCTTCCCTCGTAAGCTGAATCTCGTGTTAGTTTTTAGAACAAAATGCAAGAATCAAGTGAGAACCTATACTAGATGAAATAATGCATTTTTGATTATTTTCATCAGAAATTAAAAATGCTCAGTCAAAATTCATCCACTCTACTTCAGAATGTCAAGATATACTCTATTTTATCCGCAGTAAGTGTTTTTTTGGATAACTTGAAACTACCTTCTAATGAGCAAATAGAGTATGTATTATCAACTGTGGGAACAAGTGAAATTTATATGAATGAATTTACAGTGAATATGAGACGTATTCACACTCAAAAAGTTGTCCGTAGAATTCTTGGATTGGTGATTTTGAGTTTGGTTGCAGTTGTATTATATATTACATACATTGTGAAATTCAAACAATGTTTCCTATCAATCGATATTCATATACTACCATCATAGGACTTTTTATGTAGAAACAACATTCTTTAGATTTATTTCCTCACACATTTTCTCACAAAAAGTTCTATTTTATTTTCTGTCTCTACTTTTGCTTCTGCTGTTTACTCGCGATGCGCGTACAAGAGGTCGTACTGAATCCAAATGCCGCAAAAATATAATGAATTCTTTAAGCTGCTTGCAATTTAAGTTTATTTATTACTTGTTGCTATACGCAGCGCCTAACAAGATTCTTCTTTCTGATAACTTTTTGTTTTACTTTGGGTCATTTTTTTCTCAGATACTACGAATGGATTTAATATATGACAAAGATGAATCGGAGCTCAACAGCGAATGAAGAGCTCAAGGTTTTTCACAACGCTGGTCTGTCTGTCATAAACTGCTGTTGACGTAAGAGATGTTTATGCTTCTAACACGTCTTTATTAACCACCGTATACATCAAAATTAACTTCTTTATCCGTTACTCTGTTTTTATTCTACCATCCGTTCCAAAATGCAAGTTCGGTGGTTATTCTTTGAATAATTCAAAGGGAATAAAAGATATAGACTTGCGGTTTTCATTATTGCTAGCCAAGACCTGAAGCTATGTTTTCAAAAGCAAAAATGATTTTGAAAAAAATTTCAGACTCACTCAAAATCCATCCAACCTACTTCAGACTATCAGGAAATACTCTATTTTATCCGCTCATTCTGATTCTGTACGTAAAGTCATTAAAAAATATTCTGTTAGTTCCAAACGTTTCTTCATCTTTCCAGAAGCTAAAGTATTTTCTGTTGGTTTTTTCAACATTTATTGAGCTTTACGGTGTGCGGCAGGTAAAACAGACTATTTTCTGACATTCTGAAGTAGGTTGGATGGATTTTGACTGAGTTACGAATTTTTTAGTTTTTGATGAAAATAGTCAAAAATGGGTTCTTTCACCTAGTATAATTTTTCACTCGGTTGTTGCATTTTGTTCTAAAAACTAACATTGCTGCGAGATTTAGCATAGTCGATAACCTAGGTTTGGAACTGTCAGAAGTTAATGAAAACATAACGGCCGGGGAGTACTAAGGCTTCAGAAAAAATGTCCATAGCTCCCGAACCATGGATTCTAATAAGATGTTGCTTAGATCCAGTTTTGTGGAAGACACCTCATACTATATATTTATGAAAAAAAAATCCATAGATTTTCATGTCCTATACTGGCAGGCAATCTTAAGCAAAATTTTCCAAAAGGCACCTTACAACATTTTATTTTACTGTAAAAAACCTGTTGCACACAGCAATTTCAGCTTTTGACCACGCAAAAACAAATAATCAGGTAATATTTTGCAATATAAATTTTACCTTGAACCTTAGTAAAACATTTTAGTATGGTAAATATTGAAACATGAGTTTTGCAAAGACGTACTCTACATCGTTCACGCATTACAGTGGTCTTCTTCCTCCTCTTGTGTCATGCACACACACACGGCACTTGCTTTTTCGATTAGTCTTCGTTTTAGTTGGAGGAACACGCACTAATTTATGCGATTTGAATCCTTCTATGAGACAAGAATCTGGATCCACAACACGAGGTCTCCTTTAAACTCCCCTGATGCTCGGTTGCTGGTCATGTTCTCAGTTTCTTCTTGTTTATCATTTGATGCCATGGCTTCCGAACAGTCCAAAAGGAAACATAAGTAATTATAGCTTTTATTTATTATATAATCATCTGAAAAGTTTTTATATCGTACAGAATCCTTTACATACCATTTGATAGAACTTTTAAAGCTCTACAGATATACATCAAAGGAAATGGATTAGAGTATCATATCAAAAAAATTAAACAATGTATGTAAGTGTCATTTACCCTGGACAGAATATTCTATTAACTACTCAACAAAGGAGATAGTCAACGTATGAGATGAGAGAAGCCAAAAATAAAATAACAACGAGGTGTTATGTGTATAGGGCATATAGTGGAAAGACAGTAGAACAAATAAAAAAGATTAGAAATAATCTCTGCAGTATACAACTGTTATACAGTTACGCAAAGTGTCAAAAGGCGCTGACACCAATTAACGGTTGAAAACTGCTTGACGTCAAAAGACGCCGAAGCCAGTCAAAGAGTTAATCAAATTTTGTTTATGTTAAACAAGGAAAAATCTAAATAACTCAGTATGTAGATAAGTTGATAGCCTGAAAATTTTTATGATATTGACAGACCAGGGTTGTGAAAAACATTGAGTTCTTCATTCACTGTTTGTATGGAGCGACAAAATTTTAGTATTGTTGTGTCTCCTTATATAACCAAACAAAAGATTATAACCAAGACTAAAATTTTCCACTAAAACCTTTCGAGTTTCGGGTAAATTTAGAAAAACGAAATCCGTACCCGTAACTGCTCTACCCGTACCCGACCACTTCGTACCCGTATCCAACTTTCGGATCGCGTACGATGCGGATCGGATTGCACATATCTATCCAGGATTTCAGAAAAAAGGAAAATAGATTCAAAAATTGAAATTTACGCCCAAATTTCTCTAAAAATTTTATTCAGTCAGTTGCATTTTTCCAATACAACAAAAGTGCATGATTTAAGAGATGTTTTTTAACTGGCTATAGCTCTCGTTCAGGTCGTCAAAAACGCTTAAGGTTCTGTTAACGGATCATTTTACGATCAGAAAACGGTCTCTTTCTATATAAGCGGCCATTTCTCCATAAGATTTTTTCACCATTATCAAAAATATTCTTTTTGTCGTTGTTTTAGTTTTGAGTTTTTAATACCATTCTCAGGATTACGGTACTGTCTTTAGAACCAAGGCTGAGAGCTAATTCCTCAAATCAAGTTTCATTGACTTGTATATACGAGGAAAGGAAAGACTCTAAGTTATTAGAAGAAAATCAACGTTACATATATACTACAACAATTATAAGCGGTCAAGGCCAACAATTTTTAAATGAATTTAATTATAATTACAGTTATATATAACTTCATACTGTTTATTGGATATTTCTGGCTACTTGATCTTGATCTGATAAAAATCAATTAATCATATTTCATTTGAATGTCATTTAGTTGAGAGGAATATTGAGAAAAATGTTTTAACATTAAAATGAAAGAAATCCCACTTCAACGTTTTTTATCGATCCTGTTGTAATTTTGTAGCACGTCTCTTCGAGTGTATGAATACGCCATTACCAACGTCTTTGCTTTCTTTGTGAGTTATTTGTTGGAAAATTTGTTTGGACTATAGATACAGACCGTGGTTTTTTTATTAAATATGACGTGATTACGATGATAGTGAGTTGTCTTACTCATATTAACAGGTAAGTGTTGAAAAAAATGGTACAACGCCACATTAGACAAGCTTTCAAAGAACTCCCATGATGAAAAATGATTTTTTGTCAGTTATTCTATCGTGATATATACTACCGAGTTTAATTTCAAACTAAACGATGGGGTATTGTTACATCATTACCTCTGATAAGTTCTAAAAGCTAAAATACAGCTTCGTCCTTTTGTGCAAAAAATGTAAAATATTTCTCTCTTATGAAATTATATTTAAGAATAAATTTTAATGAACAAAACAAAACCAAACAAAAAATGTAAAAAATAAAGAATTGAATCATCACAAACATGCTTATTAACCATTACATCCAGGCATTAAGAATAGCCTGTTGATCAACAAATTGAAAAATATATGGAGCATTAAATAAAATACTAAATGTTCCTGCACTAGTTACAGCAAAAAAGACATATAATTGAAGGCGATCGATAACGGACGCTATATATTTCCAATCATCACGAACCTTAAAGTATAATAAAGTCAATATTTATACTTGATGGATTACAGATTATATTTAACACAATTAGCAACAATAATACTTTGTAAACAAAATTGGTGACCTATGTGCCATGATTATGATTATTGATGTTTCTCCCACCTGACTGCAATGATGAATGGGTATTTATCTCAAATAACTATTCCCAAAAGTATATGTATAGTTTATCTTAACATGAGGGAATAAAGATTCATTACGTTAAAAGAAAATGAAACTAGTCGTTACCGCTTCATATTGACTCGCTGTTCTCATGTGATTTGCCACATAACGTAAATGATCGGCAGCCTCATATGCTTCTTTTGACAGTTTATAATCATCCACATGACCATTATCATTAAAGTTGTCTTCTTCTCCATCATGCCGATTTCTATGAAGCATTGTTCTATTCATTCTTGCTTGTGTATGTTTCGTCGTATCATTAATATATTTCGATCCTGATTGTAGATTTGAATATGGATGTTTTCGAATAAAACGCTTGTTTAATTCTATTTTTTGTGCAACATTCATTGCTGGGGTAGCAATCGATAGGGCTCTTGCTGCTTGAATATAGCTGGCATAATTATTTTTTGAGTTTTGCTCATCCATATGATATTCTTTTTCATATTTTTTTGGACGTTCCATACATAATATTCGTGGAAGTATATCGATACACAGCTTTCTCACCCACATTGGCATATTATGTGTGCGAGGTGTTCGATAATTCCAATTAATAATGACGACAGTTTGAAATATAGTAATTATATTCATGATGAACGTAAATAGTAAATATTTAGCGATTAATGGTATGACAATGCTTGTCGGTGGTAGAATTTTTGATATAAGTAATAGAAACACAACTAAAGCTAGTAAAATCGAAATAGATAATGTCATTTTTTCGCCGGCGTCAGCTATAAAATCAACGGATAGATAGATTCTTATGAAAGCCGAAATCCTGGCATAAGATAGAGACTTACTTGGCAGATAAAATACAAATATCGACAGAAATGAAATTAGCACCTGAAAATATAGAAATAGTTAATAAATTTATTTTACAACTGACTCACAAAAATACAAATTAAAACACGATGAGTAAGAGGATGGATGATCACCTCAGCGTATATATTATTAACTTGAGAAATGAAGTAACAAAAAGGCGATCTAAGCGTCCAATTAAACTGTTCTGTAACCAAAAAACTTCAAACAAAGTCAAGTTTCAAAACTAAAAGGACATAGTGTATAACAGGCACAAGAAAGCGAAGGTTTTCTTTTCCTTCAACATCGGCAAACAGGATGGTTAGATTAAATTAGTGATGGACTTAAAAATAGGAATCAACGGCACAATTACATAGGATATTAAACGACCTACCGTCGGAACTATCAAGTTGATTGTGTAAAATAAAGTTTTACGGCGAATAACAAGTTTACACACAAATTCAACACGATCATGAGCATCAGCGTGATCCATTTTGGGTTCAAAAGAAATAGCACCCGTTGAAAAATTTGACGTATTCGTTCGTTGCACAGATGATGTTATTGTAGGTGATGATGATCTGTTATTTGATTCCTCTTCTATGGACATTGGTCCATCAATAAGGTCCTGGAGGAAGAAAGCGATTTACACGTGAGGAGAATAGATATCAGGTAAAACTCTTTTTTAATTACCCACGAACCGCTAACTACATAATCTTTTACTGTTACTTTTCGTTGATTTGCTTCGTAATAAGTAAAATTCATTTGACGACGATCATAAGTCCATGAACCAAATCGAAGCTCACATGTTTGCTGATCTGAATAAATGATTGAATTTTGTCATTGATGTGGAAAACATTATGTGAATAAAATCAGATGCGGGTTTGGCTCGACGTAGAACAGATAGACTAAGAAGAATTTTTGTCGTATATTTGTTTCTAAAGTAATTCATGTAGTTGAGATCTGTTTTTATAAGCTAAATAGTTTACAAGAATAAACGTCTTGCTGGATTTCGTTTCTACTTTAGAGAATCCATGCTCGTGTTCTAACAAACCGTTGTTATGGTTAAAAGTTTTTTGTTAACTTCAGTATGGATACCAAGCTCAATTGAAAACATTCTATCAACGAGACTTCTAGACAGTCAGTTAGCGCTAGCAAGAAAATGCACCTCTACTTCATATAATTTTTAGTTTAAAGTTTAAAGTAGACGTTGAAAGCGTCGTTAAACAAGTTCCAGTTGATAATACATTTTTAAAAAAACCTTACCAAAAGGAAAGAACTTGACATTGATGTAACAACTTGATTTGTAGATAGCGGGTGGTACCTGAGCAAACAAGATGATAGATGTAAATAACGTAAATAAAGCCCAAACTATTTACCCAATTCATATCACCATTGTGATAAACGATAACATTGCTTTTATAACTGGCTTCATATTTTCCGTCAGCATTATTACTACAGACATTGAAACAGGCTTATCTTTTCACGATTAAAATACTCTTACCCAATATACTCACAATAAAACAAGATCTATAAAATACGATGGCAGACAATGTAATCGAATTACTGTTTTAAAAACGAAAGGTGGCTGGGTAGATTGCTTATAACTGTTGAAGGAAAAGAACTAGAGGCACGCGTTTTTCACCGTTGGATAAAGAACATCGGGAGACGTGAGTGCATGGGAAAACTAGGCTTCCAGATAAGGTTTACCATAGTAAGCGTTTCGATGCAAAGTCTACGAGGCCGTCGTTCCTGGACCATATGATGGATTCTGATTTTCAGACAGTGTAATCGATAGCCCAAACCGAGATCTATAATTCTAAACTAGTCTTAACTCTCTATTTCTTACGATTCAGGAGTTATACGCATTTTTCCGAGAGCCTCTATTTCGGCCAGTTGACTTGGGTGAAACTAAAAATAAACATCACCACTCGACTCAGCGTGACCGATTATCTCTATCTTGACCCATTTTAGGATCATCCAGGGTCAAATGACCGAAACCGGGTCTCTCGGGAAAATGCGTATAGCTCCTGAATCGTAAGAAATAGAGAGTTAAGACTAGTTTAGAATTATAGATCTCGGTTTGGGCTATCGATTACACTGTCTGAAAATCAGAATCCATCATATGGTCCAGGAACGACGGCCTCGT